TATGCGTATGTGTGTGTATGCGTGTGTTTGTGTATATTCATGTGCCTTTGTGTATGTGTGTATGTGTGTATGACTAGAATAGTCAGGTAAATGTATATGAATATTTATATACCTATACATACAAAGTATGCAATACAGCTGGACAAGCAACATACCTTCCATCAGTCCACATGCAAGCAGCTGAAGTAGTCACGACAGCAGTCCCGGCTGAGCCCGTGAAGCCGCTGATAAAAGCTCTGCGCTCAAACGCACTGGCAACATACTCGCTCTGATGTGCATCCTCTGATGGTACAATCAGCGCTGCTAATGTGTGCTTTTGCATAAGACTGCGGAGTGCCGTAAGCTTGGTGGTGGTAGCGGCCATAGTGAGTTGTGATTAAAATTTCGATGTATTCTTCGATCCGATAAGGCCCGTGTATCTGCTTAATATGATGAAGTGAGATTTTACTGTAGTTCGCAAGCCAGATGTATATGTTCGTAGCCTAATATAAAGTCAAACAAAGGCTATTGTACACAAATGTTTAAAAAAATTGTATTTATGACTCATCAGGATGTAAAAATATGTAAAGCAAAAGACCTAAGAAGAGCAAAGTGAATATTTATGTATCGTGATTCGTGAAGATCTATTTATTTATTTCAATACTATAAAATTATTTGATTCTGATCTATGGCAAAATTGTATCCTGGGTTGTAGGGTTTTACGATTCATCCATAGGTGTCAGTATTTAATAGGCGGCTATGCTATAGAGTGCTAACATTGCACGCATCAGTCTTGGCACTACTCAGACGATGCCATCACATCCCAGTACACCAAAATATGTATTTATGTGCACTGTAATGGCGTCACCTTGTACATACATCAAAATGTCCATAGCAATAATATGATCTCAGGAGGAAAGTCTCGGCTGACAGGCCGCACACTCAAACTAATGAGCCGAGCAAGCTGCATAGTACTCTTCTTCGTTGTATTTATAACCGACACCATGTCGCTGATCAAGAACAGGCGTATATACGACACACCTGATACGGAGGAGAGTCTCTTGTATCTTTCGGGGTCTCATGTGGCCAATTTAATGGGCCTAGGGATCGAGTTGTCCGCGTGGAAAGGTGCTTGGATTGAAGAGTGCCGAGCATTGCGGTGGCTGGTTCTGGTTCTGATTGTAGTACAGTATATAGCGAATCTGTGTCTTCTGGTGGGCCATGCACTAGTCTTCTCATTACCAGGCGATGATATACGGTGTCGAGATAACATCTATTGCTAGAATATCGCTGGGACTATGGTGATGCCCCACCTACGATCTTAAATATGCAAAATTCTGGGTGCTCGTATTGGGATGATATATGTTTCTCACATGTTTCAATAGCCAACAGGTATCACGTAGTATTACAAGCTACCAAAGTAAGGATTCTATCTATGTATTTCAGATTTTGGTCAGCATTAGACCCAGCCCGAAATAAAACTCGGGAAAATATATCTAGCTAGTTTAATTCATTTTTAAGAATGTAGTGCTTAACACTTGCGGTATAAACCAAAGGATGTGTACTTAAATACAACGCAGTTAAATCCGTAATCACGGCAGTCGTCCAACAGGACTATCAAGAGAGTGAGAAAAAAATCGAGCACTGCGAAGATGTACGTATATTGATCACACTATTGGTATAAAGAGAACCCCCAGAATAACTCCACTCGAACCTCTTGCCCGCAATCGGACATGGTTAATAGGAAATACTTTGGAGTTGCCTGATGTACGTTTATTGATTGTAAAACTATTGATAAGAGAACCCCCGGAATAAATCTACTCGAACATCTTGCCTGTAATGGTACATGGATAATAAAAATCACTTAGGAGTTGCCTGATGTACGTATATTGATCACACTATTGACATGAAGAGATTCCTCAGAATAAATCCACTTGAACCTCTTGCCCGTAATCGTACATGGATAATAGGAATTACTTAGGAGTTACATGATGTACGTATATTGATCAAACTATTCATATAAAGAGAACCCCGAGAATAAATCCACTCGAATCTCTTGTCCGTAATCGCACATGGATGGGGAATCCCTTAGTAGTTGCCTGGCGCAAAATACAGAACGACACAACTGATCGCGTGTTCGGTAAAGAATTATACACGCTGTGTGTGTAGTCTTGTCTTTATTTGGATGTCATCGAATGGCGTTAGTAGTTATGCTAAGTAACTACTGGTTTCACTGCTACCTGCACCGCAGATTTCTTCATGACTGTAAACTGCTCTGGACTGCTGCCGTGTATTTGGTGGACCAGGCTGTCAGCGTACCGAACGATGACTTAAGGTACACGTCCGCATATAGGCACGCCATGCGCTAGTTCTTCACATCCATGTGCGCCGGCAGGCTACGTCTACATCTACTGCATCATATACATACCATTCAACGTATTGTATACAAGCCCGAAGACGTGAATATCCATCGTCTCGTTGTGTATTCCAATACCTAATTAGCACTCGTGCAGCTGGCTTTGCAGCTCCACTCATTCAGATCGTCCGCAGGTAGTTGGAATGCCGTTGCTATTCTGGTGAGTACAGCATACCCGTAGACGACTGTACACAGGTTTCCCAGAGAGCCAGTTAATGTTCGCAACTAACTCGGATAGACAAGACAGTGTATCTATATAGCCTCCAATCGCGCCCGAGACAATCCAGTACCGTTGTCTCTGGTATCCGTCCCCTACAGGCTGTCATTCTACCCTTCGAGACGAGCTTGCATATTAGTTTACACAACAGGTAGACTGCCACACCTCACACCACTCCCTTTCTGATGCGGTATGGTGTGCTGTGCTGCGATGTATATGGAATGTGTGTGGTGTCGGTCTGTGGTGCATCGAGCTTTCATCCCGTGGGGAGATTCTACCAAGACTTCGCTTGGATGGCCTCTGGTACAAACGCCCACATTGGAAGATGAGACTAAACTCTTATCACTTCTCGGCCTGATAGGTGTCGAGCTCATACAACTCATTGGTGCGTTCCGATATACCACTGGGGGACACCTCGTTTGAAGTGTAAACTTATTATTATGTGTGCCATCCCAGCAGTAGCCTATCCAATGCCGTATTGCAAATGCGTATATATGTATATATACCATCTCAGTACTAAATGCATGCAGTTGTTTGATGTGTATACAGCATCCTCACACTCACATCTCCACCTTGGTGCGCTTGGCCTGTCGGCCCCCCTGCTCGCCATCGACGTAGTGCTTGAGCGTGTGCTCACGCATCTGCTCCACGCTCATCTCTTCATCGGCCCACTCCAACACCAAATGGCGTCCGTAGAAATGCGTTGTTTTCAGCGACTCGAACGCGTTCTTGGCCTCCGATTTGCTCACAAACTCCACAAACCCGAACCCCCTACTTGTGCCATCGAACTTCTTGGGCACGCGGACGCTCTTGAGCTTACCAAATGCTTGGAACAGTTCCCTTACTTCCTTCTTTGTAGCCTCAAACGGCATGTTTCTGATCATAAGCTTATTGGATTTGGCCTTACCCACCTCTACCTTGCGTACCTCTGTTGTGGCGCCAGAGCTTCCCTTCTCCCGAGCCCACTTGAGGTCGAGTGTGTGGCCGTCTAGCTTAACGTGCTGGAGTGTCTTCAGACAGTTGGCTGCCCCGTCTTTGGTGGTGAACTCGAGGAACCCGAAGCCCATGGATAACTGTGGGGGGTTTATGGGAGACACAAGTCAGTCAAAGGGATAGTATGCAATATACATGTAATCAGATGTGAAGTATGACACGTGCGTGTTTGTAGATGAGTGTGCCACCAAACGAACCAAATTGTAATGATGTCGCTTGAGGGTCTCTCCGGTACCACAAAGTCTTACACTGCGTGTGAGTAGTGAAGACACAGAACACGATGGTAAATGATCACCCGCTCAACTGCTGCCGCTTCTTAATTTCGCAGCAGCCACTCATCAATACACTCATCAATACTTGGCACGCTTCTCGTTCTTATGCCATCCCCTAACGACGTGATGTGGGTCTTATACATACGGATTAACCACTGAACATAACAGCAACTGAATACACCCATTCGATTCCAGGCGCATACCGATTTGCCGTTGACATTCTTCTTCGCCACTCGGGCGGAGCGCAGACTCCCTGCCTTTTCAAACAGGCTCTTCAAACTCTCTGTGGAAAACGAATATGCAAATGAAATTCAGTGAATTGTGTACATGTTCCAAAAGTAGGTGTGCGTGAGGCCCTTCCGATTCGGATTCGGGGTTTGAATTTAGCATTCGAGGTAGATACAATGGGTATTGTATTACACACCTGTAAAATAGGTGTGTGCCTATTCTAGTCCAAACCGAAAACTCTGTTAAAAAAATTTACCACACCACGTTCGACCCCATACATACCATCCGTAGTGTCGAAGTTGAGATTCTTAACAAAGATACTGCGGTCATTGGACGTCTCCACACTCTCACCCTCCCCGTCACTCTCATCCGCTTGCCCAGCGTGCGCACCCTTATCCCCATTCACCTCGTCTGCCGCGCTGATAAACGTGTCCTGTGGGGCCCATTCCAGGTACAACGGCACGCTCTTGAACTTGGTGTACGCCAGCCTCCTGAAAGCCTCTCTGGCTTCACTGGGTTCGGCAAACTCCACCAGCGCTATCGTACGGGTGGGCGGGAGAACAATACGTCCCAGTGTTCCGAAGGGGTCGAAGGCCAGCTTCAAGTCTTCCTCTGTGATATCGTACGGGATATTCTTCACGATAATCACCGTGTTGCTGCGTTTCTTGGTCCCCTCAAAGGCTTCCAGGCGTAGTCCTGCGGCCAACAGATAGGCCTTTGTCTCCTGAATGATGTGTGTCTCACCGAGTGCCATGCGCACAGCCATGCTATCGGCATCGCGTGACAGCAAGTCGCTCTTGTTGATCTTCATTTTGGCAGCCAGCGCGGCGGCTACGGTGTCTGAGCGCATGAAGAGCGTGTTCCACGTGTACTCTGCACCCGCCTATAGTGCAAACAAACAAGCCACAGTGAGAGTGAGAAGGTTAGCCATGTGTGCAGTGTGCGTACATGCGAGGATGTGCTAGTCCATGTGCACGATGGTCCGTGGAGGTGAGCGTAAAACGACTCCTGTGTGGGTATCGTAGATTGAATTGAAAATGGGTGTATTGAAAATAGGCCGAGGCACGAGGTAGGTGCAAATTCCTAAACCCTAATATCCCATGTGCTTTATCCACAGACGAGTTACCGAACATCTAACCATCTGCATTTGTGCTTGATTTTGATACTTTTCTCAAATCTTACAATATTATGGAAACAATTTTGGGGTTGTCGTGACAGAAAATTGGATCTTCTGAACACATCCAAGTTAAGGAAATATATAGTAAACACCCTACACAGCCACATTCATCCGAATATTACGCATCACACAATGACCTGTCGCATGAAACGAAAACGCTATACACACCTATACCTAACATAGCACACGTCAGCTGACAAATTTAATCCACTATACCTTGGATTTCCGATCCGCTTCGGATTTCTTCTTGTATGAACTACCCGCCTTGGACTCCTCCTCCTTCTTCTCCTCAGCTCTGGGCCTGGCCGGCAGTATATGCATCAGCCTACCCTGCCACACATGCTTGTCCATCACTTCCATGGCTCTCACCGCGTGCTCGGGCAATACAAACGTCACAAACGCCACCCCCTTAGGCTTCTTCGTGTCCTTATCCAGAGGCATGTGACACTCCGTCAACGGCCCAAACTTCTTGAACAGCTTCTCCAACTCTAATTCCGTGCATGCAAAGGGTAAGTTCCGCACAAAGATGCGCCCCGTATTCGCCACCAGCGCGTCTGTAGCCACTATACCGCCCGTGCCCACGGCTCCCATCCGTCTACTGGAGTGTATCTCGTTCAACCCAGCTTCCCAGTCCGCCGCAGCCTTCGCACTCGCATCTGGGTCTGCCTTTGTATCTGTACCACTAGAGCCCATGTTGCTGCTCTCCGCTCCCTTTCCTTGGAGTGCTTCAATCGCCTCCACTTCTGTTTGCTTGCCGTCATGTGCGCTACCGTACTGTGTTGATTCCTTACTACTCTTCTTACTCTTTTTGCTCTTCTTACCTACCTCCATTTCACCATCAGACACATCCCCCATGTCCATATCTTCCTCCTCCGCAATATCCTTTTTACTCATGAGACTCTTGAGATAGTCCGCATCCGTAGCGGCCGTTATCGCCGCCTTTTCACTTGCATCGTCATCACCTCCGTCGCTGTCACTGCCACTATCCTCTTTACCTTGCTCGTTCGTGCTGTCTTTGCCCTTCTTATCCAAGGGCATGTCTTCGTATTCACTATCACTCTCGGCCTCCTCTTCCTCTCGGGTTATCTTTTCCTTAGCTTCGCTCACATCGTCTCCAAAACTGATGTGTGTGCGACTATATACGACACCGTCAACAGCCGGTCTCTTGGCGTCCACCGTGTCTACGCGCACCCGTGCACCTCCTCCTATTTGTTTCTCAGTCACTTTCTGTAAGACGAACAATAGTGATGGGTTTTAGGGTTTGAAGGTCCAAGGTTTAGCTGCGCGACACGTATGGTTGTAATTTCGTATGGTCTGGGATGTGATATAGCGGGGAACAGAACAGCACGAAGTGGCATGAGAGTAGAACCTACACAGGTGAAGTGATCAATTGAGACGTAATCGTCAAAACGTATACGTCTTTACCACTACTGCATCCGAACCATGCGGTGCCATACAAACGGACCCATTAACGGCTACTATCACAAGCAAATCAGCATGTGCGACATCCATTTCTGATGTTGTTCTGAACTACATACCTGCATTTTCTTCTGAGCCTGGAGCAGTTCGCTATCATCGTTTGACCAAGTCTTAGCCGAACTTCGGGCTGTGGAGACGTGCATGAACTCGGCGAGCTTCTCGTCGTCCTGTGTACCGTAAATTTCAGCCAGCATTTTGGCGGCCTTTTTCCTTCCCTTGGCCATCTAAATTAAAGTTGAGATTGATCACAATGTTATCCGTATGGTATGTCAAATTTTGTTGGGAAGTACATACAGTGCGTATATATGAGGAAGTATATATATATATATATAAATATATATAATAGATATAAAATGAACACATATATATTTATGTGCATATTTTATAGGCATATATAGACATAGACAGATATATAGATGTACACATACACGCACACGCAAGAACACGCGCACGCATATATATATATAACGAGAAGAATATCCATGTGCGTAATGAAGCGAAGAAATATCGGTTCTAAACGAACAAGCAGTCCAAACTCTACATACCGCTTCCTTCCGAGCTTTGCGCATCTCTGACACCTTAGCCACCTCATCCCTTTCCTCCTGTAGCTTAGATTTGTACTCCTTTTTGTCTCGCTCCCTCTCGTCATACGCACTACTGCCCTTGGAGTACTTACTCCAGGGTCGTACCTCTGCTGTAGCATTGTGTGATCGGGCTAACTCTACGCTCATCTTGGCTGTATCTAAATAAGAGTTGTTGAAGTACTTCACGGCTTCACTCGCTTCCTTGGGTGTGCGGTATCCGACAAACGCAAAGCGTCGGAACACCTCTCTGTGCAAACCAAACCAAACGACTGATCAGGCCTTTGCGAGTATATATATCCCCCACAATAACTTATATAGCGGCGCGTATAAACCAATCTATGAGTGATGCATCGAGGTGTGGCCCATGGTTGGTACCTATGCCATACGCAGTGCATTCTCATTCGTTCAGTGGGTTTGTGGGAGTGAGCCCTAGACTCACTCGAGGCTACATCAGTGTGACTGTGGAGATGGTATGTGTGGTGTTTTTTTCGGAGGCAGCCATACATATCTATTGTATAGTAAATGCATGCCGGTATCGTAGGTGTATGCCTATGCCTGGCGCTAGTGCGCCTGTGTGTGTTCTGTGCTGCACTGGATTTCGTGCTCGAGACCACTGTGTGTATATGATATGACAACGGTGCCTGTCTTTGTGTTGGTGAATGCTACACTATTTTAGTGTATATGTCGCCGGGTTATCCCGTACGTTGTGCATTGGTGTGTATTCTCTAACTAGGTTTTTCAACATGCCCCATTTTCGCTGTCGTATTGCTCCCATGTATGTATTGTGATATTTGTGTGTTAGTATACATTATGGTGCATCGCTGTGTGCTCGTTTTGTACCGGTGTGATTTCGCTATGGTGTTTTGTTTTATCCGTGTGGCTTGTCGCTTGTGAAACTTCCTTCGTAAAGTACTTACGAATTTGTGGAGTCTCACTGTGTTGCCCTTGTTGTGTTGAGATGTATGATATGTACTGTATAGCAATATTATAAATATATATATATACATAAATATATATATACATATACATATAAATACATATATATATATATATATAAATATATATATATACATATATAGATTCTGGTGTCTTGGTGTACCCTTTGCAATACTTTAATACAAATTGTTGCGATAATGTAACTCTTATGCGTCTCGTGATGTAATAGAAAATCGTTCAATGTTTGGCTTTTCTAGATCACTTTGTTTAAATATGTGTGAACAGCACAACACCTGTACAATCCTCACATACCCTGTATACATAAGCTTGACGTCTGTCACTTCGCCTTTCTGGGTAAAGTGATCCCGAACCAGTTTGTCTGTGGCATATTTGGGGAGGTTTTTCACAATCAATCGCGACCTGTAGAAAGAACATTAATAACAATTAACTTTAATATGACAGCTCAGTACAACAAATTGAAATAACGAGGTGGATATACATGTGGAATCCCCAGAGTGTGACTTGTCGAGGAAGCGAGCGCTGAGAAAGCTTCACGCGAATGCACAATACGTATGTGGTAGAACAAACGTCGGTTTATACAACGATTAGCACTATCGCATGATCGTGAATCCGTACTATTGGCAAAGCCTTCATGTGTACGCCTACAAACAATTGATTCGTAGAATTAGTGTTTGGCACTATCGCGTGATCGTGAACGAACGCTGAGAAAGGTTCGCGCGAATGCACAGTAGGTATGTGGTAGAATAAACGTAGTTATATACAACGATTAGCACTATCGCATGATCGTGAATTCGTACTATTGGCAAAGCTTTCATGTGCACGCCTACAAACAATTGATTCGTAGAAGTAGTGTTTGCCAATAGAATGCCAAACAATCTAAACCAGATAAAAAAACAGGTGATACGATACGAGAATATAAAATACGCCAATTTTTGTCTACACCACTTAATCCATATAAAGAGTGCAACTGAGATCACTTTAATCATTGTTTTTCAAAACCAAATATTTCTCTCACACACACGTAATTGTATCATCATGCAATACTGGTATTTTAACTAGCTGTATATCTACCACATCTGCACTTGGGTGAGGACAGATACTATACGGCGCTTAGGTGTGTATAAAGGATTGTGATCAATTGCACAGAATTACCCGATACAAGTAGTTGACTAAGCAGAATGCACCACGGTGTCTAGTGTATACAAATGACCTCAACTAGCAGATAAGCATTTTAGTTCACAAGTACTTTAACAATACAGGCGCATTGTTCGAACACTACATATATGATTTTGATGAGAAATCCGCTATGGGCGTATATGCAGGTTGTAAGCTGGCAAGTACACGCCAAAACAAACACCCTGCACCCCAAGCAATATCAAGGGCCTTTTATATCAACAGCCACTTTTTACATATATAAACCGTGTCTTTACAAACGATGCATGTGACCTGTCCACTCAAATCTATTGACCGAAGCGTGCAATGGAATATCGAATACTAAAAATGTAAATATGTATTTAATTTCATAGTGTGAACACGGTCCGCGGTGATTTTCTGTACCTATCACAAATTTACTTGCATTACGTAAACATTATATATATATGTTAACCGAGAGGTGATTATCGTTACTTACCGAAACAGTGATCAAATGTCTGTTCACACATTCGTAAGTTTGGAGAAAAGGGAACTGCTTCCACGACATCCGAACTCATTTATATTCGCACAACAATGAATCGAATTCGTGCTCAATAAAACACTACATGTTGACACTCATTAAATAGATAAATACAATACACGGAATAACTTGAGACAGCACACATTGACTTTAAACACAGATAGCTAAAGGATGCAATGGCACGGCACGCATGACATACGTGGCAGGTGCTTCGGCCATATTTGCCAGGCTTTTAATTCGGAGTTGCGCTTGATGTCTTCTTAGATTTCACTACTGTCTTATTCTTGTGTGTAGGTCTAGCGCAGTTTAGATACACGATACGAATGATGCTTGGTACATATGCTTCTCTTAGCTCCATCGAAATACAAGCTTTTAATACTGAGACCGGTTATGCAAGACGATGTTAAGTAAAACTGATGACAACCGGCACGTGCACCCCTATAATATAATATTCTATAAATAGATTACTCAGTAGCTTTTTGCCAAAGCTCACGCGCCAAAAATAAAATGCATAGCAACCACCCTAATACTCTCTAGAGAGAGTCAGTCAATACATCGTAATGTAATCGTTAAATACACACTTGACATTTCATATCAGAATACAATAATTTTTATTAGATATATATGAATAAATAAATATGTATATAAAGACTCAAAATATCTTGATATACTCACTACTATTGCCATGTGCTATATCGTGATAATTGGCGAGTATATAGCGTGAGATGTCCGGTTGCGCCAGTATGCGGATGAGATGTGCTATCAAACTGTACCCCTGGGGACTGGTGCTATTTGCACTGGTGTTTACTCAGTTTGGCTTCTCGAGTTATGCGATCATACTGAAAGCTTTCGCACAGGTGAGTAGCGTACAAATAGAATTCATGATTAGAAGCGCGTATTTGTACATATATGTGTTTGATAGCGTGATATGCAAAAACCTCTCGCAAAAAAAAACAATACCCCACGCCGTTGACCATGAAGCAATTTCCGTTGCACATTGAATATATATATAAATTGTGTGTGTTTATTATT